AAGAGGCGGAAGGGGTAAAGAAAACGACAAGTGGGTTAAAAATAGGCATACTTGATTAATAAACTAGCATGTCACCTAATGAAAATTTGGACAAGACTAAAATGTGCCAAAGCATCTTTTTTGAAGTATTTAGGTATTTTCCAAATCCATTGCCGTCCATGACAAGATCCTCCTTTACTATATTATTGTTGGAGTATAGTCTAGTTTATTAGGGTTTCTGGGTTTATGGAGATTGGGCCGTTGGGTTTCTAGCCCTCTTGCTTGTAGCAGTATGTCAGTTGACTTATGGTGAGTGGTTTCACAAAAGGCTGTTTTTGGTGTTTAGCTTGTTGTAGTTACTGGGAGGGATGCTGGGTTGGGCAGTGAGGCTGCAAGGTGACTGACCTGTAGTGGTGGCTGGGTTACTGTCGATGAGCAGTGGAGAGGCAGCTAGGTGACTGGCCAGTGGTGGTGGCTAGGTTGCTATTGGTGAGCAGTGGTGGTGGCAGCTAGGTGACTCTAGCTATGGNAAAAAAAAAAAGGGTAGGGGTGATTTTTACTCAAGTAGGTGGAAATCTTGATCAAGGCTTGGGAAAAGAAAGAAAGAATACAAAAAAAAACAATAGTTTAATGCATTTTCAGGAAAATAATGAATTATGTATTAGGACAGGATCAGATACAATTGTAGGAAGGTTACCAACATACCCACCATATTTTAATAATACAGCAAGAGGCGGAAGGGGTAAAGAAAACGACAAGTGGGTTAAAAATAGGCATACTTGATTAATAAACTAGCATGTCACCTAATGAAAATTTGGACAAGACTAAAATGTGCCAAAGCATCTTTTTTGAAGTATTTAGGTATTTTCCAAATCCATTGCCGTCCATGACAAGATCCTCCTTTACTATATTATTGTTGGAGTATAGTCTAGTTTATTAGGGTTTCTGGGTTTATGGAGATTGGGCCGTTGGGTTTCTAGCCCTCTTGCTTGTAGCAGTATGTCAGTTGACTTATGGTGAGTGGTTTCACAAAAGGCTGTTTTTGGTGTTTAGCTTGTTGTAGTTGCTGGGAGGGATGCTGGGTTGGGCAGTGAGGCTGCAAGGTGACTGACCTGTAGTGGTGGCTGGGTTACTGTCGATGAGCAGTGGAGAGGCAGCTAGGTGACTGGCAAGTGGTGGTGGCTAGGTTGCTATTGGTGAGCAGTGGTGGTGGCAGCTAGGTGACTCTAGCTGTGGATTGATTATGGTGGAGGTGACGGTTAGGGTTAGAGGTGGGTTTGGCTCTGATACCAAGAAGAGGAATATATATGAGTCAAAGGGATATTCAAACTAAAAGTAGAGCCCCGTATATATAGTCAAATAATAGTACAAAGTGACCTAAACATCCTTGTGGTCTAGACAAAATATATAAGTCATAGTTAGGATAAAAAAAGAGAAAACAAAACCCTAATAAATTAGACAATACTCCAACAATTATCAACAATCTTGCTGCAGAAACTGAGCTCCTCCTAACAGATACACAATTAACACATCAGACTATAGGGAGCATAGATACCCTCGGAGTATGATACATGGCCTGACCCTACTACAAGATGGCAAGAGCCGCACTTCAACAATGAAGACATGGAAGGTAGAACATCCCCGCAACTATTCCCATGCTCTTCTCTCTTACATACAACACCCTTCTCGAGAGCCACATTCAGTATGAATAGATGGCTTGCACCATTATGGGTGGCTGCTTGCTATCCCATACCTTCCTAGACATAGACCCATAGTGACTCACAGTTTTGGATGGTCGTGGTGAAATCCTCCCACAATCATCCACTATCCCAAAACACTCCAACTCGGTGTTCACCTACCCTTCCTCATAACGATATGATATAATGTGCAGTACATCAATGCCGAGGCATCTTGGAATCAGAGACCAGGGCACAACGTATCTACACCCAAGGTATCGCGGCTATCCCTCAGCTCATACCCCCTGGAAACCCAAATTGAAACAGAGGATTTATCATGGCACGGGACACACATTAAGGCACTATACCATGGCATGTTCAGAGTATGAGAGACTATTGAAGTTTCCGCAGATGACCTTAACCCACGACATCAAGCCCCTTAACTGTCGAACCCACATTCCCCTAACATGACACTCTTTTAGTTGACGGTATGAAAGCTTGACAAGTTGAATAAAAAAGCACCTCCCAAAGCTTGACCAGTTGAATAAAATTATTAAAATAGTACCTCCCAAACTAGTATATGAGCCTTTTGAGCCGCTCCACTCCTTGTCGAATAATTTCATATTGGATGGGTTAACCTAATCTTGGAGTTGCACTTGGGTAGGGTTTGGGCAAGACTCACATCCTAGATTGCCCCCGCACTCCTCAGTCCTCGCCTTCACCGTGGTTTTGTAAGGTCCTTTTACATAATGCCTCTTGAACTTAGGACCCCACCCTAGGGTGTAATCCATTAATATATCAACAATTTCTTATCTACTTCAAAAATATAAAAACTTGATTGCCTACCAAAATAGCAATAGTTTCTTATTTGCTTCAAACACAGAACAAAGAGCACCAATTTAAACCACTAAAATTCCAACTCGTCCATAAACTCTTCATTTAGGTAATCAAGACACTAAAAAATAGCTGGTTAAAGATTATAGTGGACACTACTTTTTAATCAGGAACAGAAAATTACATACATGATGGGAAAATAATTACAAGGAGGATGAGTAATCCACTGAGAAGGTAAAGGTAAAAGCAAAAGAAAAGAAAAGAACTTGCAAAATTACAAGTTACAAATGGATTTCCAATCCGCCCTAACATAAACAAAAGAATTCCCTCAAAATTAGGCCACACTGAAATCCAAAAAGATCCCTAAAAAAGCGTTTTGTACCAAATAGTCAAAGACCATTTATTTCCTTAAGATTAGTGTAGTCCTTTACAACCATATGTCCCAAAGCTTGTCCACACCATACATCTCCAACAAATAAGAGTTTTCTTAGCCTTCCAAAAACCTTTAAATTCTATCACAAACGTGTTCATAAGAAAATGGTGACACACAGCACAACTCTCTGCCCACAAAAATAATATTCTCAATAATTGCTAAAAGCAACTGAACAATGTAGGAGTATATGATCATGAGTTTCCTCACTCACACCGCACATAATGCACAACTGTGGATGAATGAAAAATTGAGGCCGCCTTCAAAAAAGCCTCGCCAATATCGAGTTTCTTATGTGCAACAGCCATGCTAATATCGAGTTTCTTATGAGCAACAACCATGCTAATACTTGGAATTTAATAGAAACTTCTACTCTCCAAATCATTTTTTAAGGATCAAATTACAGATTATGAAGATCATCAATTAGTAAATCGAATAGCGCTTTACAAGGAAAGACCCTAGAAAGTACAATAAACCAAAAACTTCTATCGGAAACGAGCTATCTCTGTTAATTTATTGTGTTCAAGATTATCATATGACTTGGGCACATTTGGGAAACTAAATCCTTGTACTTTGTTGGCCATAATTGCAGTCAGGCATGCCGTATGTATCTTTATGTAGATAATCAGATCCATCCTCTAGAGAAAATATGGCACATGTTGTCTTCAATCTAACATGTATTTTTTTTTCTTCTTCTTCTTCTGCTACTTATGAGGATGTTTCTCAACCTCTTAGAGCACCTGACCAATCCTCCTAACACATGCAGTCTATGTAGTGCAAATGTATGGATAATTTCTCTAGGAATGGCCCAAGAGGGAGAAAACAAACTATGAACCTTCACCTTTCTAAAATCACATCTTTTCCATTTCCACATAATAAACTTTAAAACTCCTCATTTTTTTTTTTTTGTCAGGTAAAAACTCATTAGTCGAAAAGGTAACATCATGTAAGCAAGTTTGTGTAAGCTCATAAGCATGAGTGAATGCGACAACACATGCAAATGAACTTAACAGTTTTGGCCAATACAGAAATAAGGATACACCTACAAGAACAAATCATATAAGTGTTCACATTTATCACGAACCATAATCCATGGAAAGATGCTTCAATTTCAAAGGACAGGTACGAACTAGATCACAAAAGAATGTATCATCATATATTCGCGAGTGTGAAAAATAAATAAGCTCGTCTTATGTACAAGTGAGTGTGAAAAATAAATATGCTCGTGTTATGTACAAGTGAGCCTGATCCAAAAGTATTTTCAAATCAGAGATATGCCCCTATAAAAGAAATATGACATTTCCGTCTTGGTAGATATAGGCAGATGCCTCAATGTAAGCTACAGCTTGATACCTAAAGCCACAAAAGGATCAAACATGAATAATGCACATAATGAACCTGCTAGCTGCCATCATAAAAAATGAAAAAGTATATAATAATAATAGGTTAAGTGGGCTAGGAAATGCAGGAATTGAGAAGTTAAAATGCTTCATTAATGAGGTATTCTACAAGAAATAAAGTCCCATTTATCTTGGTACAAAACAATTTATCTCATTAATAAATAGACAAAACAAGCAAAAATTTGGACAAGTCCTCCAACCTAAAACATAGAAAGTAGCAGAAACACAAAACAAAAATACAACCAAGTAATTCAGCTTGAGCTTTAGCTTGACCTTTGCAAATTGTAGTCACAACCCACTTTTCACCCTCCCAAAATCCAAAAAAGAGGGGGTTCCTTCAAAATCTTTAGTAACCGAAGCCCAAAGAGATGTTAAGAAATAAACTTAATCCTATAATCCTTCCACCACCTTCCATATATCATCAAAGATTTTAGCATTTCTTTTCAACCAAAGAATCATATAATAGCAAAACTTGCACAAGCCCACAATATGATCCCCTCTTGTTTCTACCAACGCCCTTGAAATTCAGAATACTATGGGGAAAAGAAAAGACCATGGCCTCACCCACTTCCCCCCTGCCAAAGCAAACCATGTATTCCATAATGAACTTCACTACCACAACTGCACAATGCACACCAATGTGGTGACAGACACGCATAAGGTCTTCTTCTTTGAAGCATAACATTGGTATTTATCTTACCACATGCAATCATGCAAGCACATAATTGTACCTTCATAGCCACTCTAGCCTGACAAATCATCCTGGGAGAAACAAAAGAATCTGAAGATTATAAATCAAAGACTACAAAAGAAGTGACTACGAAAGAAGACCGTACAAGAAAAGACACCCGAAGAGTCCCCAACCCAACTTTTATCAACCACCCCCAAAGTCAAATTGATTTCAATAAGAATACAAAAGAAGTGAAATCACATCAAAAGTTTCTCAATCACCTAGATTGCTAGCCAAAATCCCGAGGGTGAATGTGAACTAGACCGAATCATATAGAGGCAATAAATACATCATCAACAGAATATACACGATATAGACGAGGAAACATACATGATAACGAAGGCTCCCCACCCAATTACTAATATCGCACTCATTTCCTTTCAATTTATATTTGCTCTTGATAACAAAATGTCATAGTAAAAGAAGTTCTCAAGGGAATCTCTTAAGTCATTTCCCAACTTAATCAGCATTTCTTGCCTTAAAGTTTTTAAACATCTGCCTCTATATTTGGGTTTAGATACCACCTCCCAACTAATCATGTGATCTGTCTTTCCCCCCCCACTATTTTCTCAAAGAAAATCTCTTGTCATTCTTCACAACCCTTATTGCTACATTTCCTGATATCCTAAAGAGAGATAAATAATAATTAGAACTAAACGGAATACATTGCACTAAAGTTAACCTTCCCCTTTTAGAAATAAAAGCTCTTCACCATCTCCAACATTTCTCCCACCTTTGCAAGGGTCCCAAAAAGTCAAAGATAATGGATACCCCCCAAAGGAACACCTAAATACTTCAAAGGTCACTACCCCAGGAAACATACCAAACAATCAGTCAATCTAACAATCTTATCTGCATTAGAGTAAATGACAACAATCAAGCTTTTATCCCTATTCACCTTTGATCATGAAATTATGCCTGATACATTTAAGCCTAACAAATGTATATTCTTCACTCAGCATTTGCATTGAGCTACAACAAAGATTTTAATAACTGCAACAAATAGCTTCAGTCTCTACAATTGGTGGAAACACATGGTATTTCTGGACAAAAGGATTTATTGTCAGACTCTGGCAACTCCCCACAATTTAGAGGAAGGCTATATATTTGCATGCTACTAGACGTACTATATCAGGCATATATATGGTTTAGTGAGTAAGCATTATGCCAGGATAACATTGCCACCTGGCTCAGACTTCTTTCTTCTATTCTGAAATGATGAAAAATTATTTTTTGAGTGCCTCTAAGCGAGATGTTAACAATATTACATTTGTAGTGCATAAAAAAAATACTTGACAAGCCTAATTTATGAAGAGAAAGTGCACATACAAAAGCATTTCAGCTTTGAAACATAAGAATTAAAGTATGGACATAATGGTATTGTGAAAAAAACCAATTAAAATCAACCTCGAAAAACAAATATGTGACATACCCAAGGTTAAGAAGCCCAGCAACTGTATTAATGCTGATGTCAAAATCCACTTTTGGTTGGTTGATAAAATTCCCTTCTCTTATAGGCTAACAAAAATAAATTGAAATTCAGTGAGTACATAGTAAAGTAATTTCCAAAACGAAGGAAAGCGCATATTTAACAAAGAAACAAATTTCCCAGAAAATTAAACTACGAACCTCCCGTATGAGCAACACAAATCTTCCTTCGCAAATTTTGACTCTTATGCAGTCACTTTCCGTTAACTGGCCATTAGCAGGTATTCCAAGTAGCCTTAAATAAATGTCAATAAAATTCTAAACAGAACTGCAGATCTTTGCAGGGTCAAGGATTTTTAAAATATCTTGATAAGCCACCTATTATTGAGAGAAGTATGTCATAGAAACCGTCTTACATAAGTTCGGGGCAGAATCACTACAAAATGAACTTACTTGCTTATTACTTTTGAGCATAAACAATGAGCTCTCAGGAGAAAGCACAGGATCAAAGTCATTTCGAATTTTGAGCCGCAATAAGATAAAGACAAACTTTGCACGATCAAAGATACTTCTTGATAGTTACAATCACTTTAAGTGGATAAACAGTAACATGGTAATAAACGTAACATGCTGATGGATACTAAGGTTAACATCTATTTTTATTTGATGCTAAGATTGAATGAAAAATCAATGGGACATATGAGACAAATAATTTAAAAAATGGACCATAGCCTGAAGTTGTTCCATATAATCAACTAATCGAGGCTGTATACTGTGTCCACAATATGAGGTTATCTAACCTTGAGCATAATAGATTACCTAAACAACTCTACAAATTTAAAAAAAAAGTTAAGATCTGTTGCAAAAGAAACATTGAATTTTGTCAAAAACCAAAATCCTAAAGCCACGGCAGCTATTGGAATATTTCCTTTAACTTCAAGCATGAAACAATTGTAGAATGACTTTGAATCAACTCACATGTGCATGAACAAGATGTGGTTCAATGTGCTGCTGGAACATTGGGAATACTGTCGTCATAATTTCATTTTGGGACATAAAGCACCCTACTCTACTTTTGTTCCTTTGAACTCGAGAAATCAGATGTGAATGAACACCTCCAACCTGTTTTTTGATCAAACAAGTACTTCTCCTCATCATGTTTTATTGACCTCAGACAATATGCTAGTTAATCAATATCAATCTAAAACAAAAGCCTCATCAGATAGTCAAAGTCATCCTTACAACAACAATCCACAAGTCCAATGATTTCCTGATATAAGGGTGCAAAGCATAAACACCTTCAAAAATAACCTGGTAGAATTAGACAGAAGCATATTATCAGGCACCAAATAACAAGGACCAAATCATATTAAACCAGCATTACCAGTTCATATAACTAAGATTATGTATTTCATTAATTATAAAACAGTAAAGGTCTACTGCACAAAGAACTGTTCTCTGACTCCATTGCTTCAGCCTTAAAAAGTTTTCATGAAATTATTCAATATCAAAAGAGAAACAAGCAAGAGATTAACCTCAGCAAGGCCTTAAGATATCCAAGCAAAGATAAGAGTCAAAATTACAAAATGGGGTGCCATGAGGTCTTCAAAGTTTAGTATGTCATGTTTTTCTAATTCATTTCCAATTTGTTGGCCTATTAGAATTAAGGTGAGTTTAAAGAAATACAGAAATTTTCTTATTTGTACCACTCCGCAATCTTCAGAAACTTCAAGTTTTTTGAAGCCACTTCGAGCACCATTTTCCAGATCAAATACAGGTACTTTTGTTCTTCGACAGTTCCTTATGTCATCAATATTCTATATAGAAGTCAAAGAATAAAACTGTCAAAATACCCAAAGGGTCGAAAGCATAGTTATTAAACCCGGTGCAGACTTCAGCCAAGAAAAGGTATAGGTTCAACGGTTGGGTCAATTGGTCAAACCAGTTATACAGTAAAAATTAATTATTAAATTATGCTAAAAACTTGTAATACTTGGTGAAATAACATGTTTTATATAGAGCACGGGACTAATTTCAATCACTTCACAATCGTTAACCATCCACATTATTTGTCTACCGACATTACTCCTGACCCAAAGTAGATCACTAGACTAAGGAGTAAACTATAAAAATCTTTATTCTAGTACATACAACAATGAAACAGAAAAGCCACCAATCTTGAGCACTGGACTAAACAAGCAGATCAATTTGGCATATAGAGCTGATTGTAACCACTGTCACAGAGTATTTGACAAGCTTCAAACTTGATCGCCGAACAATAAAATGGTTTTTAGGTTGATAAAAACATTATATTACCCTACAAACTAAAGAGTAAACTATAAAAAATTCAGTATATTATACAATGAAACAGAAAAGCCAATCAGTACTTCAACTCTTTAAGCAAATCTTGCCGTGAAAGACGAGGTGAAAAAGATGAGAAAGAGATCAGAGAAGTTACTTGGACAATGGACGGTAGACAACATACCTGGGTGGAATAGGCTTGCTGAGTCAATGGAAAGCGAATGAGTGGCCACACACACACAGAGGCATGTGGAAGAGTGAGATCTGATTTAGGGCAAAAAATTTCAGCAAATCCACAATATAATTAAACAGAAACCATATCCCCAAATCCACCGTTGAATCAACAATATAATTAAACTTGGTGCCCCTAATCTTTCAATGTCGGATACAAACATTCTTCACACCCACCCTCACGTGTAACCTGGTCTCGGATGTGGGGTAACAAACTCATACAAACACACTGAAATAAAGAACGCATATAATATTTTCTTACCCTCGAGAGCAAAGCTACATCAAGTGAGCTGAAGTCATCATACTTGAAGTCCTTCACTTGCTTGGATTTGTAATAGCTTTCAAGGAAAACAACTTCACAACCAACAATATTTGCCATCTTGCGAGCCAAACTAGTCTTCCCCGAGCCACTCGGACCCCCTAAATCAGCCAGACAAAAAGAGCATATATATTCCTTTCTGAATGTGGGTATATAGGTATGAGAGAGAGAGAGAGAGAGTGTGTGCATGTGCATGTGCATGTGTGTGTATAGAGAGAGAGAGAAATTATCGCGAAGATAAAATAATTTGAACCACAAAAAAATATCACCGTAAGATGTCAAATTATTTTCAGTTACTTTCACTTTTAAAGATGATAATTTCCACTAGTTTAAAAAATCCTACTTACGAGTATCATGGCGCACACACCGGAGCAAGAAAGATGGCTAGTTGAACCAACAAGCAAAGTTCTATCACAACCACTTAAATGATCATGTTCCTTACTCGTCTCCTGAAGCAATCAACCTAATAGTAAATTGCATAAGACCAGCCAAGGTTTGCCTCACACACTTGCACTCATAATGTTTGAATCATGACCTTTTGACTGTTTTGATATGATTATAAAGAACACCGAATAAAATATATGAGCATTCAAAAGTTAAAAAGTGATTGTTTTTTTGGGTAACTAAGTAGGACCTTATGCTGGATGTCAATTTATTTGAAACTCAAAAGCTATAGCCACACCAGATTAGGACAGAAAAGAAATATTGGAGCCACCATCTAACAGAACTCATGAAGTAAATCAAGTTTATAAAAAATGACAAAGATTCACCACCTTAATTTTTTAACATGAAGGAAAAGCTGAAAGCTATATTCAAGAGACCATCAAGATCAAACAAGGAAACAGGAATATATTTACAAAAACTGGAACATCCTCCAAACCACACAATAAAACATCCAAAGGCATCTACTACCTTGTTTGACAGCAAAAACGTAAGCTTCCAATTTTTTTTNACTGGAACATCCTCCAAACCACACAATAAAACATCCAAAGGCATCTACTACCTTGTTTGACAGCAAGAACTTAAGCTTCCAATTTTTTTTGCGCAAATTTAAGCTGTCAATTTTGATAATGCTCAATGATTGTAAATAATATATCTAAAAAGAGTAAGAGAATTTAATGGTTAAGCTGTGATACGAAGTTGTTTAACTAGGACTCATCAAATGGTGGGTCATAGTCTTCCTTTTGAATGCGGAGCTTCTCTTCTCCTAAAGCAGAAAGGTTGGGAACCCACTCTATCATCCTATGAGTAGCCATCTTAAAACAAGACTCTGCATGGCCTCACACATCAACACCCAAAAAAATATCTGGGAATGGGCCCAATGGAAAGAATAAATTCATGGTATGATCATCCAGATTCTACCATTTCAGATTTTCATCTCCTATGATATTCCAAAGAACAACAAAAAATGATCAAGAGAAGATGAAACTGTGCATATAATAATCAAAACTAGTTTGATCAAGCTATTTTTTTCTGGCACGGCTAATTTGAACAAATTAAATATTGGGCCATGATCATCTCAGAATGTTTGAGAGCAAATAAGTCCAATCTCAAACACAGACCACGTAGTCATTGCAAACCCTCACCTAAGTATCAAGATTTACCATCTATCTTTGTCCATTCAAGAGATCATGCAAGCAATAAAACTTATAAGATGGTTTTAAAGTCCCATCCTCCAGAAATTGACGAATAATATTTGGGGCCTGTTACAACATGTGGATCACTAAAATGTTTACTTAAATGAATAACTGAATTGAATAATAGGCACACAATGATTTCGTCAACTAATTAGGAAGTTGACAAAAGAAGTCAATTTGAGGTTATCCAAAAGTTGGGGGGGTTCTATTTATCAGACATAAGGACTCAAAAGTGAAAATCAAACCAAACTACATGAAGCACATAATTGATTTAAAATTTGAATTAATCGACATATCAGAAATTCTTTCTGAGGCTTTCACTAATCACAAACATTGACGAAAAATACACACTTAATGCATTTAAAAATTAACAACACACATTCAAAAGTTTATTTATAGTCTTACAAAAAGTCAAAGAAGTAGGAGGAGTAGCATACATCAAAGACATTTAACTTCATATGTCTTTCTAACTATACCTACCGATAGTAATACGAGACAAAAATAATATTGAACAGAATAGTAAAAAAGAAATGATAGCTCACGATTTAAGGAAAAATATGGCCCTTGATATAGCACAATGGAGAAACAAAATTCAGGTAGCCGACCCAAAGAGTTAGGATAAAAGCTATGTTGAGTTGAGTTATATATTTCTCTAACTAAAAAATTGAAATTGTTGTTTATACTTGTCTATTTTTGTGTGTGTAGCTTCTTCAACATGTCAAAATCTTGAGACGGGTTAGGAGGAGGAAAAAATATATATAGTTTTCCCTTTTCTATCTTAAAATCCATCCTTTGTTTTGTTTTAATCAAGTTTCTGAGGGTGTCTTGGTGTAACAGTAAAGTAATTACATTATTGTGCGGGGCAATTTCTGCACAATAGTTGAAATGAGAACAAATCTCTCCCACGGTGAGATTTGACCCATTGGAACGGTGGATCCGCCAACAAGGAATTGGTCGAGAGGGCCAAAGGGGGCCTAAGGACTGGTGATGAATTACTTCTGGTAATGTCGAACCGACCACGGTGGTTCGCGAGTAATCCCTGGAACACAGAAAATCGGTTAGAAGGGCACCGGAGTGTTTTTCGGCGTATTCCCTCCGATGATCAAGTCAGTTCTTTGAGAGAAGGGAAGACGAAAACATTGTTTGAAGTCCTTAAGAGGAGAATTTTTGTACCTTTGCAATGTGTTCTTGAGGGCTATTTATACATTCAAGGGCTAATCATTGCTGATGGTCTAGTCAGTAGGTATTCTTCAGAGATGGGTCAGTGTGACCTATACTTTTCATGGGGAATGCTTTCGTCTTAATTGCTCGCAATGTTGGGCATTCAATGCTCTTTTTCCAATGCTAAGGCATTGAATGCTCGAATTCTAGAGCATTTAATGCTTTTGCTTCTTGGCTTATCAAGCCATGCTAGATGTCTTATTAACTGACAGTGCATTAAATGCCTGTCTTTATTAGCCGCATATCAGCAGGGGCAGTGCCGTCTTTTTACCCTTTACCTTGCCCTTTATGCCACGCATCCAGCTCTCTTTGGCTGAATGTCCTGTCCATCCTGTCATACTGACTCCGCTGTGCAGAGTGCCTTCATTATTACTAGCCTAGCTTAGGCCGGTCCAACTATCAGTCACTGGTTTCCTCAGAAATCAATAACTTAGATGGGTGGCAAATAATTCCTTGGAACCAAGGGAACTCTTTGAAACTGAGGGAAAATACCATAACACCAAGTTATTCATCTGTCGGGACAGGGGGATACTGAGGCCGAGGACACGTCACCGGGGAAGGAGAGTCCCCCAGGATCGAGGACACGTGTCATTAATCCGTAACCTTCTAAAAATGTCCCACCAACTGCCCCCAGGCCCTTGATCTTCTTTTGAAAAGGTCACGTGTCGCAGGAAGATGGAAGGGTTCCTAACTGTCCTTAATCATTTCATCATTACTCTAGCCGTTTTCCTGTCGTTTGGAGAACGTGCGCATTGAATGCATCCTTTTGTGCTTCGTGCGCAATGATGAGACCTAGGGAGCCTATATAAATAGAACCCCCTCTCCCTTTTTTCACTTTTCGACACCATAAGCTTTTCTCAGAGATTTCATTGTTGGAGAATCGCCAGAGCTTTGCTACCTGAAGAACTCCTGTCATCTTTCCCAGCCATCACCGGAGAAGAAGAAGAAGAAAAGACATACCCAAGCTTCTTCAATCTTTTAGTCCTCCTTCCCCATAGTCTCCAGTGAGTCTTTTTTCCTTTTCTTTTTGGTTTTTTTCGGCGAGTGGCAGCCTTTTGGGCTCCCCATCGTCTTCATTCTTGAAAAACCAGGCCCTAGGGGTAGTCCTTCAGACTTCTCCTTCATCGTTTTCACATTCCTTAGTGTCCCTTAGGATTCCCTTCTGTGTTTTAAGGAAAGAACCCTTTGAACTTGACCTCCTTTCTGTTTGAGATGCCGAGGCATCAACCTATGACTGAGGCCTAGGGGGTCGGGACCTCAAGGCTGAGAAAATGGACTGTTAAGGGTGCCCAACAAATAGCAAATTTCAAAGCCCAATATGACATCCCTCGTGATGTTATCGTAGTCGATTTTGACCCAGCCCACCATTGCCTGACGTTAGAGCCNTTTCAAAGCCCAATATGACATCCCTCGTGATGTTATCGTAGTCGATTTTGACCCAGGCCACCATCGCCTGACGTCAGAGTCGAGGATGCTATGCCTTTTTATACCAAGGCGATCATGGAAGGAGGGATCAGGTTCCCTCTTCCTCTACTGTTCCTTCAGTTCCTTTCTAGGTTTGGTCTCTTCCCTGGTCACTGCGCCCTTAATACTTTTAGGATAATCACGAGAGTAGTGGAACTAAATAGGCGCCTCGGGGTTAACCTGGGCCTTGAGGACATCCTTTTTTGCTGTACTTTGATGAGAGTGCCGTCGAACGGAGTCTTCTACTTGAAAGTCCAAGACACCTCCATGTACCTCGTCACCTATCTCCCTGATTCAGACAAGGGGTACAAGGATGACCTTGTGTATTCAGTGGAGCCTAGGAGAGGGGAGTCGGACTCGAATATGATGGCTTGTCTTGCCCTAGGGAGTGGCAAAGCACAAGTACGTCGGGTTTC